GTAGTCCATTCCTGACGAGCTCTCATTTGCTTTACAATTTCAGCCAAACGATTAAACTCGCTGCTAAGAATGACGCGGTTGGTCCTCGCTGTTGCAGCATGTTGATTTAAGCCAGTGGAAGAAACGGCAGCGGAGCCCATCAGTAGCTGGTTGGATAGCATATTGTTTGAGAGCGTATAACTAGGGGGCTTTCGGTGTATTCTTGTTAGAAGAGCATCATTTCCTCTGATAAAGAATGGGTGGCTGAATTCCATATCTTCGCCATCCCCTGAAGTGCCCAGATAAACATCCGCTCTGTTGATTTTTCGAAAGCCATCTAAAAATGATTTCTTGAGAAATTAAACCGTACACATATTCAGCTGTCGAACAAAACTCGAAAGATTGTTGTGTTTGAAGAACAAAGGCAACACCTCCTTAGCTAGTCGATTGCCATCACGGATATGAAAACTTCTGCCACTCTAAAGGGATGAGTAAATAAAATCAGAGACTAACTGGGTCCCAATAAATAAGTTCTTCTGTTTCGGTATCGTCCACAAGGAGTTTCAGTTTAGTTAAGAAGGCTGGAACAGTGTAAGCCTGATTGTGCATGGTCTCCTCGACTGTGCGTAAACAGACACACGCACATAAATGAAACGCCCTTGGTTGTTCATATTAGGTTCTTGGACTCGGAGAAGTCATGGCAGAATATTATGTGTGCAGGAAGTAGGTCATCAGTCTTGCGGAATCCGCAGGATATTGCGCTTGAGCTGTAAAAATAAGTGTAAAAAGGGGAGTTAATGGGGGCATAAAACTGAGCAAAGCACGAACTCAGACGCGGGAATAGTCAACATGAGGTCTAGCACGTGTAGAAAAGCACAAAGAGACTGTCTATACCAGCCGTGTACACTAAACAGATAAGTTATTTTCCAGCTACTAAGGTGTTCGATACGAACTTTGGCCAGTCATAAGATGAGTCAGAAACCTGGTTGATCAAACAAGTGGTCGATCGTGAGTTAACCTTGCCTGGCTACAAGATGTTTAGAAGGGACTGGGAAGATCGTCAGGGAGGAGGAGTACTCACGCATATGTAAAGTAGACTAAATGCATCAGACAAAACCGACAAACGTTCGTGCACTTCCGAGGCAATCTTGCTGTCAATCAAAGTGTCGGGCTCACCAAGCCTCGATATCCTGACAGTCTATCGACTGCTGATACGTAACCGCATAGCCCACGCTGTAAAGCTGGAAAGGCTCGAAAAGTTTGCCATACGGCCGTATATTCTGATCACGGGAGACTTTAACATGCCTCACGCTGGATGGAGCTCGGCCCACGCAAAGAGTTCGGAACAGACCTTCGATGTTGGCCTTGTTAACACGACGCTGAAGTTATTTCTAATTCAACATGTCACATTTCTCATTAAAGTGGGGAAAGATCAACAGACCAACTGCCTTGACCTCGGCCTTACAAAATCACAAGAATACATTGATGAGATGTCATATATACTGCCCCCTTGGGTGATAGTGGCCACGTCGTTCTACTTCGAGAGTACGCGCGTTTTCCCACGCACGAGAGACCGACAGCAGTTAGAAGAAACCTCGATCAAATGAAGGCTGAAATCACACGCATTGAGTGGTCATCCGTATGTTTGGAGACGTACTCGAAGATTTGTAACGGTCCCGAGATGCACTTTGCAGTCCCATCACAAGCCACTGTCCGCTTTCATGAAAGAGACTAGCACACAGACTTCTATGGCTTGCGCAAAACTTAACCAATGAGGTGAATAAAAAGTGGAGACTGTGGAAGAAAATCGCTTACTGACTGGAGCCATACATCCATAAGTGCCTACAAAATGCAAAGAAATAGATTCAAGGGCATTATCCTCAGGATAAGAAGAGAATTCGAACTGGATCTGTTTAACCGTGCCACAGAGAACCCGATATTATTCTGCGGTTACATTAAACAGAGCACGCAAAACAAAAATCCCATAGCACCTCTAAGGACTGACGAAGTTGAAACTCTCACTGAAGATAAAGTGAAAGGTGATCATATTTCAGACCTTTTGATTTGTTTTTAGTAGGCATCCAATATTCCAGCGAGTGACTTCTAAGAGGCCACAATAAATGAGACCGTTCGGTTTACCGAGATCACTGCGCAGAGAGAGATGAAGGAAAACTGTTCAACATCGCCAGGTACCAATGAGATTCCAGCGAAGTTTTTGAAGGAACTCGCCGGCGAGTTGGCAAAAAAACTCTCCTTGCTTTTCCTTACATCATTCCAGGCCAGATGTCTGCCAGCCGGGGAAGTAGGTTCTCCACAAACAATTATAGGCCGGTCAGCCTCACATCCATCTGCTGCAAAACTGTGAATAAAACAGTGAAGCAACAGTGAAATCAGTTCCTCGAACAAAACCGCCTGTAAAAGTAATTTCGTCTATAGAAGTGGACTTTATTTTCTCCCGTTTGGAGCGCTCAGCTCAATATCATAGGGGAAATAAACTTTTTATAAGTCGGGATAAAACTCCACTGCAACGAAGAGTTTCTCCTCCAGCTTGTATGAGAGTCATCGCGCGCAGCACGATTTTGAAAAGATTGGTGAAAGTTGTATTTCTGAATTCGATTTCTTGATCCCTTGCACAGTTTTCCAGTGTAGATCTGACAAAATTTCCTATTTTCTGTCATAGGTCATCTTAGCTTCCCATCGTGTTTTGTCGATTTATCACAAAGCCAGTATAGGTCAGTATATTTTGAGGGAAATGGGCAATGCCTTTGAAAACCCTATTGTAAGCTGTACATGTAATATGCAACTTTAAATAATCACGGTACTATAATGTTGTCAGTAACATATACACTTAACAGAATATTTTTCATCGGAAATGCAGGGCCGAAACTCACGAACATTCAGTTGTAGATGATATCGGTAAAATGCAATGACATTCATCCGCATTAGCGGTAGGTTTATGCGAGGCGTTGGTTTGGCACCACAGAGCTGTTCTCTCCAGACAAGCGATATTGCCCAAACACATATACATCTAGTCTTTGCTTGAACGTCTCCATAGTATCCGCCATTATTACGTCCTCTCAATATCGGATACGCCTGTATAAGATCTCCTCGAACCTGCCTGTACTCAAGAGGAAAGAGTTTAAGTTCACTAAGTCGGCAGTTGTAAGGTAAAGTCCTGAGGCCTTTCACAAGTTTGTCGCTCTTTTCTGAACTCCTTCTATCAACTTATGGTCTTTTTTAGCCACGGGCGCCGTGCCTGGATTCCATATTCCAGATGCGAACGAATGAACGCTCCGTATACTTTTCCAAATAACTATTTGTCCATGTCTACGAAAGTTCGTTTTATGGCAAAGAGAAATCTTGTTGCCGTTTTGGCCGCCCTAACGCACTGAGCGGAAGGCTTAAGGGTCGACAAAATGTTAATCTTAATATCTTTTTGTCGGGCCACATTTGCAAGGCACCTTCCACCAAGCAAGCAATGCTGATCCTGTCCGTCGGCTCTTCCAGTCGTTTTGAGTCGCAGGACGACACACTTCTCAAGGTTAAACTTCAACTGCCATTTATCCGACCATTCGCATAAGTGGTTCAGTCCTTCTTGCAGGGCCCGTTCATCATTTTCCCCGTTGATCGATCGCCATAACTTGATGTCATCGACAAACATGATCCCATTGCAGTCCAGTCCATTCATACAGTCGGTGACATAAATTAAAAAGAGTACTGGTCCGAGTGCAGAGCCCTGGAGAACTGCACTCAGAACTGGCACTGGCGTTGACTTCGCACTACCAATACACAGAGATTGTGATCGACCAGTCAGAAAGTCCTTTACCCAGTTTAATAGGTTTTCCCTTATCCATGACTCTCGGACCTTGTAAAGTAACCGGTGGCGTGGAACACTATCAAAGGCTTTCTTGAAATCGATATAAAAGATATCGATCCTTGTTCCTGCGTCTAACCAGCGAGACCACTGTTTCGTTGAATGAAGCATTTTAGTTAGGCAGGAGTGATTTCGTCGAAAGCCATGTTGGGAACTATCAATGAAATTATTTTCTTCAAGAAACTTCATTATGGATTTTTTGACTATTCTCTCCATGACTTTGCAACAAATGCACGTTAGGCTCACCGGCTGATAATTGTTTGTACTTGTTCTTGATCCACCATTCCGAATGGAGTATATGTTCGACACTTTCCAATCAGAGGGGACCCGGAGACCTTCCCTCTTTAAGCGCTAGAAGTTCCTTCCTCACATCTTCTTCCGTGAAGTCGATGCTTTCTATTATTTTGTCGGTTGGCCCAGCAGGCCATTCAGCCTCGTGACTGTCCGTTTCATCGGTGAAAACAGATACGAAAAACCGGCTTAGATGTTCTGTCTTAGCGTCATTTTCTATGATATCCTCATTGTTTTCTCCTTTCAGCACTAAGACTGTCATCTTGTTCTTTAAGCTACTGTTAATGTAACTGAAGAGCACTTTTGGCTTATCGATGGTCCGTTCCATAACTTGCGTTTCATACTCCTTCCGCGACCTGCGGATAGCCCACCTTACCTCGTTTCGCTTTCGACGAAACTGCTCGTAATGAGATGATTGTTTTGTTGTTGCATACCATCTCCATAGTTTGTTCGTCCGTTTTACTTCTTTTTTTATATCCCGCGTTACCCAGGTAGGACGAAAATTCTTTTTGACTCTCTTTGTCGGACAGTTCCGATGCATGATGTCTGTTACAGCTCCTTTGAGAGTGATCCCTCAACGTCCGGATGTCCGGAAAAAAACATCATTCCAGTCCACTGCCGATACTTCCCTTCTCATGGCCGCAAAATCGCCTCGCCAGAAATTCAGCGGAGGCTCAGTCGTATTCACTTGTTGGCTGCATAGGCGGTATTCCCAAAACAGCACATGATCACTCTTACCGATCTGTGTTATGGACCTAAGTTCGCCAGGGTCAATTGGGTCTTTTGTAAGGACGAGGTCCAGACAATTTGCACTTTGGTTCTCTCTGATCCTGGTTGGAAACGTGACGTTTTGTACCAGAAAGAGATTAGCTGTTAGCTTCAAGAGCCTGGAGTCAAAGGAATTTCGCGAACCATTTACTAGTAAATTGTTCCGGTCAACCATGGGTGCGTTGAAGTCTCCGCTTATCACTACCTCTTGGTTTTGTGACACCTCTTTAATTAACCAAAACATCGCCTCGTCAACCTCAGGCGGCCTGTATATAGTAAGGAAATTCAAAGTTGGTATCCATTGAGTGTTATTTCGGAATCCAAGACTTCGGTCAGGAACCAAGTCTCCGTGATAGACATTACATCGGGCTGTGTATCTGTTATCCACATTTTCAGTTCATCTAGCTTCTGGAAAAAACGCTGAGCATTTGCATAAAGAAAGCGGAGCTTAGACCGGGCAGATTCCCGAACGATTGTTGGGTCGAAGTTGTTGGATATTTCGCGCGAGTTTTCGGGTCTATCCTCCCCTTCCGAGTCTACTGCTGTTTGATTGGACTGGATGTTAGTGTGTTGGTCGTCGTTTCCTCTGATCGGTTTGTCAGATAGGAGCGTTCTTTCCTTATTATCTGGTTGTTCATTATGCTCAGTGTGATTGGTTGTCTCCAGAGGAATGAGC